TCCAGTGAATGGGCATCCCTAAAGTATGCCAAAGTAAACTTAATTTTCAACATTTTTTTTCTCAGAGAGTTAACAATCTACCAATAGAATTATCTTTTTGAAGGAATGTTATCATTTATTCTAAGTATGGCTAAATTTGTGTCATCCTCATCTGCCACATTCCGTAAAGACAAAATTTCTCATAAATCAAATGACTAAACATATTAATAATTGTTTTTTGTCTTCTTGCGTTTGAATGTAGGGAATTGTTCTCGGGAAAGTGCAGTGACTTGTGAAGATTGTTTGCTTTCTGGACCGCACTGTGCTTGGTGTTTTCAAGAGGTAGAGTAAATGATAAAGTTTCAGAGTAAGACTTGAAGTGTTTGTAGTAGCTTTGAATGATGAGGCAGTGACTTAATTGGGTCAGGGCATGATTTTATAATGCATACAGTACTTAGGATAGCCTTCCTGGGAATCTGAAGTGGAGTTCAAATCTATGCACTATATTCTATTGTTCCTGATTCTTTTTTCTCTTAAAAAAAACCCCAAACACTTTGACAAATGAAATAAAGGGTCATCTTTTTAAAATGCATTATAATCTGTTAGGTAGTATTTCAAACATCTGCTTTGCATATGTTAGTCTAAGGACTTCTCAAAGTTTGAGAAACGCTATTAAAATTATTTTCTTGATTGTGATTAAAGGTGTAAAATGCTTCATTTTATCAAGTTTGCAAGAAGTAGCACAAGCAAAAAAAAATAGTACAAGAATATCTAGTATGGCACAAATGCATTGCTTTATAAAGTATTTGTCTTAAAACATGTTTGCTAAAAAAAGAATAGCAATTTTGCGAGCAGTGATAGTACAGGAAAAAGCAAGCATCGGGGGGTTTCAGGAGTTTTTAATATTCATACTTTTAAAACAGTATTTTTGAAATGAAACGTGATCACATAATTCACACCACTATTGCGTGTTTTCAGAAAGCAAAAATGAAAAACAATTTATTGCAATTACTGAAAACTTTACAGCAATTAATGTGATTTCTTTTCCTTGCTCATGAACCTGTTTGATACAAAACACTGCTAGAATGCAAAAGACCTGGGAGCTTTAGTGTCAGAATTAACATTAAAATGCCTTTAAGAAAACTATTTTCTCTCTAAGAC